ACTATTAAAAAGTATTTGAAAGAATATGTGCAATGTATTTATGTGAAACTTTAGTTGTGTCCCTGTTATTCACAGATGGGAAATTTACTGTGCCCTTTGAGATTTTTTATGCATCAGTGATGCAGGTTGCACACCCATATGTATATATATGTGTGTGTGTATGTGTGTGTCTGAATTGGATCAAATTATAACCATGGAATATTAGTGTTTGAGCCTTTTATATTATATTCTTCCTCTGTCCTGGACATTGAGTTCTACCTGGATTCTGTCCTCTTGGGAATATATATATATATATATATATATATATATATATATATATATATATATATATATTTTATATATATATAATGGGTCAAAGACAGCGACCTGGTGCACTACATGCCACAAGGTCTCCAAACGACTCTCTGCAGGCTTTGAATTCAGAGTTTTCCTTCTCGTAGACCAGTTGCCATCCAAGGCTATAGAACCCAGACTGTCCTGCTATTTACCCATAGCTGGAAGGAGAAGAGGATTCATACCTTTCCCAAGGGTATTAGCACATTAGTGAATGTAATGGATTCGACTGGAATTCAAACTTGGCTCTCCGATTCCGCAGTCTGAGCTGCTTTCCACTACTCCACCATGCCTTCTTAAAATTAAAAATTAAAAAAAAAAAAAATGTGTGGTTGGTTCTGCACAAAGCCTTCATGACTATAATCAAATCATATATTCTGGTGTCTGGCTGTTGGTTTCTAGGAACTGAGCCACTTGGCCCTCATATGTTGAATACAACGGGAGAGTCTATATATATATATATATATATATATATATATATATAATGTTTTCATTACACCCTGAATTACATTTGTACTATAAACTAACTGGCACTTGGTGCTATTCCAAAACCAGCATAGGCATGTAATGTATCTGTTGTTGTTATGAATTTTTATTTTAATATTTTTTATAATTGCTTTTGTATTTATTTCTTTTATAAATTTGCAAATGATACTCATTGCATTGTATTAGTTGCTTTGCATTTTTAGAATGTTGTAAATATAGAATTATTCTTGTAAATAGATGTTTAATGGTTTTGTCCTAAAGAAAATATATAAATTCACTTTCATCTGTTTTGAGTCTTATTAAAATTATAATCACTTTTTAAAACCATAAACATTGCTGATGAGGCAAAAGTAGTACTAAATAATAGCAGTGTCAAGGGAAAAACAGTCCTTTTGACACAATGTTTTATTGTGGCCATGATGGTTAAACAGATGACAAAGAAATAGAAACTTGAGAGTTGTGATGGTCCAAGTCATGAAGAGACTTGGCATTAAGCAAAAAAAAAAAGAAAAAAAAAAAGGAAAATAACAAAATTGGCAAAAAATAAACTGTTGTTATTTCTGTGGGAATTGAAATTAGGTAACACTATTGTGTGTGTGTGTGTGTGTGTGTATATATATATATATATATATATATATATATATATATATAGTGAACATTGAAGTCAACACTTGGAGGCTGTTTCATGCTAGACACAAGCGTCAGGCTTGATGATTGTATCTAGCATAAAACATCCTGTTGCCTCAGAGTGTTGACTTCAATGTTCACTTTTATATTTACATAAGCTCTCTCTGATATTGAGCACTTTAGCCCTTAAATATAGCACACCTTAAAACTATATTTCTTTTTATATATATATATATATATATATATATATATATATGAGGCTCAAACACTAATATTCCATGGTTATGATTTATTACATTGGAATCGTAATCACGATCCAATTCATCAGACATACAAATTCAAAAAGAAATCTGCTTTTTTCTGATTTCTTTTTTAACTTGTATGTCTGATGAATTGGATCGTGATTACAATTCAACATAATGAATTATAACCATGGGATATTAGTGTTTGAGCTCTTTTATATTCTTGCTCTGTCCTGGACATTGAGCTCTACCTGGATTTTATCCTCTTGAAAATATATATATATATATATATATATATATATATATATGAATGCATGCGTATGATGTCTGGGCATTGTTTTGCTGTTTTCAAGGATCTGATAACAAACTTCTTGAACTGTACTATTTACCAATTTGTTATTAGAGAGGAGTTACTTATATTGAGTACATACAGTTACTGGTTCCCAACAATGCTGAAAAATCAAACCCATGTAAGCCATTAGGCAGGAGATGTTACTTAAATGCGAGATATTAATGGCCTTAATGGATTATTAGCCAATATCAGTTGAATTATTTTTTTCATACTGTTATGTATTTTTCTTCAGCTGCTACAATTATATTTAAGAATAAAGTTACAACTGTCCCATAATAATTGTTGCATTTACATTTTATACTCTAATGTAGTAACTATTATTGGACATAGTACCCCCCCCCTGCAATTTTCCAATGGGAATTTACCTTCATATAAGAATCAACAATGTCTTTCATAAAGGAAATTCTTTTTCACATTGAGTTTGATGACTTTGAAAATGATGTAAGTAATCTGATTAAAGATTATTGAAAAATAAAAGTGACTGGTGCTGGCATTTAAGAATGTCAAACCCTGACTGTATCCCACTTAATAATTGTCTGTATTTGAAAAGAAAATTGACTTGGAGAACAGTAAAGATGATGACAGTGGCAAATTTTATTACTAATGCCACAGAGAAGCATATGTTCTTTTTCTATCTTCAGATTAGAATGAAAGACCAAAAATGTGTTTGCATGGGGAAGGCATTGGGATATCTGAGGATAAGTGGCTATCATAAATAAAATTATTTACCTCCTGATGTCCAGGCATAGTGTCTCTTTACTTGTTTGTTTTTATCTATATTTGTATTAGAGCTTGTTTTTTTTTTTTTTTTTTTTTTTTTTTTGTTTTTTTGTTTTTTAAGATCATTTTGACAGGAAAGATTTGACTAAAATAGAAAATAAACTTGTCCGAATTATATATCCAGATGGCTTCATTTTCTAAATAATCTAAAAAAAAAAATTAAATTTAAAAGAAAATAATAAAAATATTTTGATATCTTGAATACATCATGCTCAAGTTACTTAGATGGCAGATCATTTAGTAGTTGCTGGTGTCGTTTTTTTTTTTTTTTTTTTTTTTTAAATCTTGACTTACAGTAACAAAAATATGTTCTATAGTGGATGAAGATTTTTTTTATTAATGAAAATGTTCTTTTTATCCTCTTCTATTTAAAACTAAATAAAATAAAAAAAAAAAAAACTTTGGCTGAACAGAAAACAAAAATCATTGTTTCCAGCTTAAATAACAAAACAGTAAAATGATCCATGTTTTAAATGCCGATGATACATCAGCAAGGTTACCTGGTATTTTTCTGCTTAATATAAGTCCCAAGATTGAAACTAAACATGTACTGTTTAATTTTACCCAAATCATTTTTAGTTATTATTCTAATTTGAGTTATATATTACAAATTTATATAAGTATTTGAAGTATTTAAGAAAAAAATGTTCCAACTAAAGTGTTATTCAGAGTATCTGCTGAAAAAATAAATAATTTGGAAGGATTAATTTGTCATAAACTATAAAGAATTCAAGAATAGATAGTAATAGAATTTGCTAATGTCTCGACTATGAAAAACACAAATTTCTTGACTTTGCCATCTGTATAGAAAGTTTAAAGCTTTTTTAAAAAAAAAATTCTGTTTGATAATGTGATCTGGTTCCAACTCTTTTTTAGTTAGGTTCAGTTTTTTTTCCTCTTTGAGAAAGATATCACATAATCTTTGAGACTCTTGGCCGAACCTCCTTGCACCAGAAGGTGTGGAGGTGAGGATTATCAGCATGACTTTGACATTTGCCACAGAGGACTGGTTAATATTTTGATTCTGCTTATTTGTATGTATGCACGTAGGGGGTCATGTTAAACCAACTGTGAGTGAATCAGCATTTGAAATCTTAACTGAATATAAACTTTATTGCAAGATTTAACAAAATCAAAAATCTGGTAGAAAATGAAAAACATTGTCAACAATTTTCTCTCTCACTGAAGCTTTATTTCTCATCTGCCCTGCTTACTTAAATATGCTTTATTACTAGTAGTATTAATAGGATTCAAAATTTCTTAGATGAAGCATTGTCAATTATTATTCATTTTGGACTAGTATTTGAACATATCAGATGAGTAATAAAGAATAACCCTTCAGTAAAAACAAAAATAAGATGAACAAAATTATAAAAAGTAAGTGACAATTCTTGAAGAAATTTCTGTTAACTATAAATTTATTGAGCCACCTTAGCACACACACACACACAATGTATGTATTAATTATTTCACCCAAGCAAAGTGATAGAGACACAAGGAATTACAGAGAGTGAAAAAAAAAAAAAAATAGAAATTGTTAACTGAGGAGGAAGGACAATAAAAAGAACAGGATTCAAAAAGACAAGTGACAACTGATGTATTTAAATTTTTGAAGATTGTAGTTGACAAAAAAAAAAAAAATATGGAAGTGTTCCACAGGTGATAGTGTGAGAAGAGAAAGTCTTTGACTAGAACTTTCGATACAAGGTGTGCATGTACATGGAAATCACCGAAGTTTGCAGGTGAGCTTGCTTATGCTTTTTTTTTTCTCCCTAATTACTTTAAGAAAGGCATGAATCCCCTTCTCTGTGAACTCTTTGGCAAAATGTTTCATTATTGTCATACCATAATGGTTGTTAGAGAAAAATGGGTATTTACATGGGAAATCACTGTTCCACATATTTGATAATCAGGCAATCACAACAAAATGATGCAACCACTCTCTCCCATTGTCAACCTCAATAGGGATTTTCTGTGTGCCTTGACATGGGCAATCATAGTCCTCCACAACTTCCTATTGTGGCTCATAATCTATACAAGTTTTATTCTTTTTTAAACATTTTCAGTGTAATCTTTGTAATTTTATTTGTGTTTGTCTCGATGAGATAAAAGTGTAAATGTTTTATTTAAAATGTTTATCTTACCAGCATTTCTGATCTCCTGTCATTTGATTCTTACAGGTTTATCATGAATGTTTTGGCAAATCGAAAGGAATTTTCCAACCAGACTTGTACAAGACACCGGAGTCAGAGTGCATTTACTGCACTGAATGCCACTCTTTATTTAATCCTCCCCAGTTTGTGTGCCACTCACACACTGGCATGGAGAATCGCATATGCCACTGGGGTTTTGACTCCGCTCACTGGAGGAACTACTTGATGCTCGCGAAAGACCAGGAGAATCTGGAAAAGTGTCAGGAAATGATTGAACAGATGAAGAATAAATTCGATGGATGTAAATCAAAAAGAAAATCGGTAAGTTACTTTCATTGATCTTGTTGACTTTTTCTTCTTTTTTTTCTTTACTTTGCTTCTTCTTTTTTTTTTTTTTTTTTTTTTTTACACAGCAGAAAAAAAAAAAAATTTTCCTTCATAAAAATTACAAAATTTTTATTTTTATTTATTTTTTTAAAATTTCTTTGGAAATAATAATGTCTAAAACTTCTTTGATGAAAATTGCAAATTTTATTTGCACATAGTTGAATTCCAGCACAGAAGATTTTAATATGAGATAATAGGTCAACAATTAAAGGAATATGGAATTTGTTTTCAAAAAAAAGACTTAAGTCACTCATTCTGGTATTGACTGTATATAGTTTTTCTTTACCCCATTGGAATTATTGTTATACGAGTAGAGTAAATTCTACCTTATTCTAGTATAGCATTACAATACATGTACTAGGATAATGCTTTGTTCACGTGAAAAAAAATAAAATAACAGATAAGGACTTGAATAAGTGTTTGAGAGAAAAAAAAATAATTATGGAACTTGCATGTTCAGGTAGTGAAATAAATCCACATTAAGATATAGAAAAGATAAATGCATCAAGGTCTTACTTGGGAGTTGGTATGTTTCTGCCTAGTGTCAGTATTTTTGCTTCAGCCATAACTGGTGAAAAAAGATGGAAGTCTGGAGGTAGACATGCTGTCACCTCTGATGAAGCGGCTTAACTTTTATGCCTTGCAAGACTGTCACATGACACATTTTTTTCTCTTTCACATGTACATGCATTATGGTCAAGTTCTGTATTAAGCCTATAAAACATGGTATTTATAAAACAAGACATTTATTTTAATTAAAGTGTTATAGCCATGTGATAGATGATGGATTATAGCTAAGGTGTGATGTCTACTGCCAAGACATGCACTTAAATGATAAATTACAAAATTGTATTAAAATCTATAGCAATTACCACTTGCGTTTTTTTCTCTCCTATATTTTATCATATTGTGCAAGGAATCTTCAGTTTAAATTAAATGAAAAAATGTTTAAATGATGTAATAAGGGGAAAAAAAAGGGAAATAGTTTTTTGTTCCTTGTATATTTTAGGAAAATCTATGACAAAGATTGGATAGGAGGAGCAATAAATTAAATTACCTTATTGCCCTTCTTGTCCTCAAAACTCTCAATGCATTCTCCTTGCACACAGCCTTATCTTTTTATTCTGAACTGAAGAGAAACCAAGACTAACAAATGTTGGTTAATCATGATGTTTATAACCTTTTCCACTTTCTTATCATCTCCATTTTGTTTTGGCTACTATTATACATCCTATAAACACACACACACACACACACACACATATATATATATATATATATATATATATATATATGCAAAAGAAGAAAAAATGGATTGTAAAATTGTAAGTAAATGCAGTGATTTCAGCTGTCTGATGATGGAACTAACTTTGATTTTATATATATATATATATATATATATATATATATAAGTATATAATTGGTGTATACGGAATGAATTCCAATAACCAACAATTACTATTCTTAAAAGAGTGCTCAATACAGAGTAGAGCAGATATAATTATTTATTTTTAAAAATTATAACATAAATATGTTATAAAATCACATCAAGAATAGCCATTTTTTTCAACACCTCCTGTGTCTTATCAAGTGATGATGTTGAATGTAAAATAAATGGTTTTAAAAGTTTCAAATTAATTAATGATCCTTCATAAGGGGAAAACGTTGTTATAAAAGCTAGAAAGACCAATCAAAATACAAGTATAGGAAAATTCAAAAAGCTTGACAATGAAGTCATGTTATAATAGCTATTCAGATTGTTAAAATAGGGGTAATATTAAAAAAAAGAATTTATTCTAACCAATAATTATTAAATTATATGATAAAATTTGATATTAAAAGTAAAAATTACCAATTTTCAAATATAAATTTAATCACTATTAAGTTTAAAGTTATAAAATTACTGAGGAGAAAAGAAGAAATACATATGTTATTCAATTTATTTCTTCATTGAAATTATATATATATATATATATATACACACACACACACACACATACATACTACTAGTAGTACTCAGTTGGTAAAGAACCTCAGATAGCACAACTTGCAACCATATCAAAACAAATTGGTACCTGAGGAAAAAATTGGGTGGTGGGTGAGAAGAACTAGAAACATCCGAACAGTGCAAAACAAATTGTCCAGTGACTTAAGTTTTTAGTCCAAAGAAAAAACATGAGTAACAAAGCTAAAATGTAGAGTGCTCAATGCAGTAAGAAGAGCTGGAATAAATAAATTGTAAAGAGCTAGGAACAACCTACCTAGGTTTCACCTAAACAGATCTTCAGGGCAATCTGGCTAAAGAGGAAACAATTTTTATTGATAAAACCCACTAAAAACTAATTAGCATAAAACCATATAACAGAAGAAGATAGGGGAAAAAAAACAAAAAAAATACATAAAGCCTCTATTCACACACATGTGTGTGTGTGTCTCCACATGTTTAGTTTTTTATCAATTAGTTACCCAGTAATTAGATTGTTTTCATTCAGTTTTAAAGAGATTTACGGCCACAGTGATATGGTTATGCAGAAGAATGTTGAGAATATCACACACAGTATCTAGGATCAAAGATGAAGTTTTAAATAATCCCCCCCCCAACATTTCACCCCAAGCAAGGTAATAAAGCCACTAAGATACAAGGGGGATACTGAGTGTGAAAGAATGAGAAAAATAAAGACATTAAGGGGAGAGAAAACACTAAAAGAACAGGGATTAAGAACACAGAAGATAATGATTGACATTGCATTTAAATTTTTGAAGGTCAATGCTGACTGGAAAGCAAGAATCTGGAAGTGAGTTCCACAAGCGAGAAGTGCAAGAGAAGAAATTGTCAACATAGAACTTAGTTACATTTAGCACTTTCAACTGTAGAATGATGAGACCAAGCTGCCAATCTAGTACTGCACTTAAATTCATAGTCTAGATACAAGATGGGAACAAAAAAGATCCTTGTACTTAAAATCAGGAGACAGTTGATATTTATGGGAAACATAATGAGGAAAGAAGGTTTGACGAATTTGACACTCTTAGGGGACATATTGAAGGGTGGAAGGAAACCTCAAGTAACCTACCTAACTTGTGTAGAGAGTTGGTAGAGCAGGGTTTTAGAGAGGTAGAAAGAGGTAAAACATTTCTTCAAGCTACAAAAAATAGGAAGTTGTAGAGAGCCATGATTGCCTACATACTGAAGAAACATGCTGCATAAAAGATGTTTTATTAGATAGGGAAAGAGGGTGGGTGGGGGTTTCTTGATGCTTTTAGAAGCTGGTTTTATGAAAGATTCCATGAGGGAAATTAGCTATTTTCTTTTCATAAGTATTTGATAATAAGACATTCCTTATCATTCCTAATAAAATAAAGAAACAATCAAAATGTGTCTGACAGCTAAAAAAGTTGAAGAAATACGGTGTAACTTTTTGAAAAGGCCAAATCAGAAAATGAAGATGACCTCTGTTGCTCGGTTACATTCCAGAAATTTGTAAAGCATTCGACTATTATATAAATTAGGACCTTACTTGTGTGTTACACAGCAAGGACAACCTTGTGTGAAATTAGGGCAAATACCCTCAATGCTCGTTCTAGCAGCAGTAATGAGGGTATCAGCAAGACTGAATCAGGCCTGGTTATTTGAAAGGCCTTTTTTCTGTTTGTTGTTGTGTGTTTCTTTTTGTCTTTTTTTTTTTTTGTTATGCTTTTAGTTTTAACTTGATCCCACCTTACCCTGGAACCCCTTTTTAAACATTAAAAATAAGCTTCTTCATTATTTAATTTTATTTATTTAAAATTTATTTATTTCATATACTTGTTTTCAGTTTTAAATTGCTTAGGAACATTGGATTTGGATCAGTTAAAATATATTTCTCAATATCTACACCCACCAGAAATTTCTTTTTTTTTTTTTTTTTTTTTTTTTTTTTTTTTAATTTTTCATATGATAAAAAAAATATGAAATTTTATAAAAGGTAATTGGGTTTCAGCTTACTATTTCAATTCATTGAAAATTGACCCCCTCTGCAGAAAGCTAAACAAAATATGCTTACAGCATGTTATTTCTTAAATTTAAATGTAAAATAATATCAATAAAATAATAGGATATTTTCTGTTAATTTATCCCAAGTAATGTAGAAAGTTACCCATCACAAATATTAACTCACCCCAAGAAATTATAAATTTTAAATCATCTTTTTTTTTTTTTTTTTTTAATCTTTTTTTATGATATGGGCTAGGAATTTTTTACAATTTAAAAAAAAAAAAAGAAAGTGTTTTTTGGCTTCTTTATCCAAGTGAGTGTGAACGTTGACTCCACACTTGGAAATAACACACCCAAGCTGCTCACATTTGGGGTGATTGCAAAGCTCAACCCAACCGGAGTGCAATGGAATGGCCTCAGAGAATTTGGTTTGAATTTTAGTAAATATAAATTCTTTTTATTTTGGTGAATTAACAGAAAAGATCCAAATAAAAATTATGGAATTCATAATCTGGAGTTCTTTTTTTCATTGATTACTATTGATTGATTTTAAGCACTACACTGAGTTTCAAAAAATTGATTTTTTTACATTTTAAAAAATTACATGGTATGAGGATATTTGTTTTAGCTTCCATGAGGGGTTCAATTTTTACATGACAATGATTTCCATAACAAACAGGGCTCTCCAAAGTTTTAGTGTGTGTGTGTGTATAAGGAATTAAGATTACATTAGGTTAATGATCATTTTCACCTTGTAAATTGAAATAAAATTTACAAGGAATTTTCATACTAGTCAATGGATGATAAATTATTGAAATAAAATTGGCCAAACAGAAGAAGGGAAGAAAAATTGAAAAAAGAAAGAGAGCAAATAAAAACAAAGAAGTGGTTTAAGTCTGGATATGAGGGATGGTCCTTGTAAATTTTATTTTTTTTATTTCAATTTACAAGGTGAAAATGA